GATTTTATATCGAACCGCGTCTGACCAAGATCTTTCTTAAATCGCGACAAGCCGCAAGAAATGTTTCACCTAGGCTGCGTCTAGCCGCGTTCGATTGCTGCGATTTAGACGCAAATGAAACGCGAATCAGACGCGTTTTTATTCAAAAAATATTTACATGGGAATATCATAAATCGTTCGTGTCATGTTTCGCCACATGAATACAGTAGCTATGGTCATTGGTACGAGTGTAACCAGTGATATGTACCATGGTTGCTGAAAAGCATTATGATAATACGAAGTACATGTATTAAATTGAAAAGAAGTCAGTGACGAAGAAACAAGCGAATATTGATCACAAAACATATCAATACATACAACACCTGATTAAAAGCAAGTTAATATGAAATGATAATTAAGAAGAAAAAGATTGAATACGTACCAAGGGCAAATGAAACGGCACATGCTGCTAAAATCATTGTTCTATTTTAATCGCCGAGCAAATAATCTGCAATAATTATATGTCATGCAATTATTTACATAGGAAAAATTATGAAATTTTTTTTTACTACGAATTAAATAATAGCAAAACAAAACAACGAGACAGTCTAGTTATACATAATAAACTGGATTTTACACAGTTTAAGGCAATTTCAATTCGTAGAATCAACGATTTTTCTGTTGAATTGCATTCATCTATGTATCCTTTCTTCTTGTAGATCGCGTCTACCAAAACAAGTTTTATATCTTATGTTTTATCTTCTTGAAACTAGGCAAGGTGAGTTGACATCTGATTATCCAATATAGTGAATGTAATAATGCATTTTCTTATCAAAAACTTCAATATTAGAAATTTGTGTTCAATATTAATTTACATTCATCTTGCATATGAGCAAAAATTCGATCCACTGCATAAAAATTATATTAGAGATCAGATTCAGATGTCACTAGATTTCGAAAGCGCTCATATCATATAAAAATGGCGTGGATGTGATCAGAAACAAGGCTAGCACCCACACGCAAGCCCACACATCCTCACTCCACTCCACCCACACCCACACCCACACCCGCAAACTTTGTGGTGATTTATCTGAATCATGAGGGATTAACTCATCAGATTTGAGTAGATTAGATTCTGGTACCACTGTTGATTGAGGTTGTTCGTCGTCAAAATAGCCGATTGGATGCACAAGTTCACCAGATAAAATATGCGTTTCAAGTTCGCAGTAGTCTTCTGGGTGCTTTGGTTGAGGCTCACTGTCAGTAAATTGAGTTATCATTAACATCACTGAAAGAGTTTTACGTGTAAAGCATTCTCGTTGTGGTTTGATTTCATGAAGATGCCATGATTCGATTCCGACGGGCCATAAAGAGTCAGAGACAGTTGTATTGTTTTGTTCAGTTGAGAATGGAGATTGCTGACCATAGGAACGTTCGTAAGGTATAGCTGTTGAAGTGTTGATAAAATTAGGTGGGGTAAGTTGTATTGGTGTAGTAGGGTTAGCTATGGGGTTATTCAGCAAAGGATGTCCGAGTGTTGGAGATTGAAGTGTTTGGTGATTCGTGAACAGAGCTTTTAGTTCGTGAACACCTGTACTCAAAGATTGTATATTGTCAAATACCTGTGTAAGCATAGTATATTTTGATGTAATAGTTGTTTCCAGCGATTTAATTTCTTGTTGAGTCTCTGCACGAGACGTAGTAATACGAGTATCTACTTCAGATAAAATAGATCCCATTGTTTGCTCTAATCGAGTAATCACAGTACTCTGTTGAGTAAGTATGTCCGAGAGATGTTTAATAACAGTCTCGAGTGGAACTTTTGATTCAGCCATTTAAGTAAGAGAAATAATGTAGAGAGGAAATTAAGAGAGAGGCTTCGTCAAAAAATGTAAGGTTCGAGTGTCAGGGTCGCCAGTTGTAACGATTCTTGAGTTTATTATCCAAAAGAATGGTCCGTCTCTTCTCTCACGTCCACTCTTTATATATCGATCGTGGAACGAGAGAAGGAGAGAGAATATCTTATACAGAGAAAGGAAAAAGAACAATCATTGAGTATGAACATGAACGGTCGAGACATAAGATAAACTCATTAGTGATATATGCTTGTATAGTGCATACGATTACATTGAGTATGATGAGTGATAGACGCACGATATGGTAATTAACACTAGGTGAATATATAAGAAGAGAGAGTAACATGTTAGCTAACAACAAATGATATGATAAGTAAGAACAGCAAACAGAAACAATCATTCCACACAACGGTGACAGTAGATAGTGATGTATACACGTTCAACCAGGGTTGTCACAGACGCGTTTCTCAAAATTTTGAACGCGTTCGAACCCATACTTGCTGGTAAGCAACGCGTTTTTATCTTATTGAATGCGCTAATAGTGAAGGCGTCTTTTATCGCACGAACGCTTTCAACTTATATGCGTTTGAACTTGTTTGCGAGTAATTCGTTCTTATAGTTAGAAAACCTGTTTCTCCAAAAACGCTTGAAAATGTATACTGAAGAACTTGTTGGACAACTTTCAGAACGCGTTCCTTTATGTAGTGAAAAGTACTCGTTTTCACTAAATGGAATTCACTATTTGAAATATATCGAAATACATATAACGAAAGTGCTATGCCAATTAAGAAATATGTGTCAACATGAAAAAATTTCTTTCTGTTGCAATCTACTGAAAGGTAGTGTCTTTCTAAGCAAAGTGATCATCTATCTAGAGTTTCGTAATAAATGATTTTCCTTTTTCCTAAACTAGTTATTTTATCCAACGAATTCGCTAATCGCATGCTCTTTGAATATACATTCTCAAATCGTATATTCTTTCTTTTATTTGAAAAATAGTAATCGGGAAGGTTTCAATTGATTTTAAACATGAAACGGAAACTTTGCAAAAGTTATACTAGTGTATGCCTCAAATGTATTTATCACATTTTTACTTGCCATCGAACGCATCACTTATTTTTGCTCATAATAAAAATCGGAATTGTCCATCGATTTCTAATTGATTTCTATTAAATTTAGCTTTTGTCGATTTAAATTTATAATGAATTCAACTTATTAAAATTAACAAAAATTTTATATTTACTCAAATCGATGGTATAATATAAATTCAATTTAAACCAATTTAATTAGACTTAAGTTCGATAAAAAATCACACTAAATGAATTTAGATTGTCTAAGAAATATTTAAGTCTATTTAAATGAATTTTAATTGAATTTGAACAGCTTTGTATTGAATTTTTATCAATGTAATCTAGATTAGAAAAATTTTATTAAATGTCAAAAAATATTAAAACGTTAAATTTTCAATATTTTATTTTAAAAGAAATTAAAGTTCTTTAAATTTATTTTTGAATTGATTAATTTTTTTGAAATGTAAATGAATCAGTCTTAAGCATAAATTTCGTAAAGTCAGAATAGCTTTTGTTTAATACAAATAGAAAATTTAACACTTCAGACATACATAAGTATACCCATGAAAAAAAAATAAGACAAAATATGCGTTGCAACGCAAACTTTTGGAAAAAACACGTTATTTCCTCGTTTAAACCTATCGATTTAGTTTTTGGCACGTTTTTTCTATTGAAAACTTGTTTAAAAAAAAGCGTTTCAACGCAGTGTTGAGAAAAAGCGTTTTCTTTGATAAAAACGCTTTAAAGAAAACTTATTTAAACATTTTTTTTTAGATGAGTTTGAACATGTTTTTAATCATGCATGTTTTCTCAAGAAAAAATGTTTTTTTAGAAACTCGTTTTAACGAAATTCCTCCTATACGTGTATTGTTTAGAAAAACGCGTTTTATTGAAGTACTAATTTTCATCATTTCAAAATTCAATATTGTCGAACGAAAACAAAGTTGTTCACGACTATTCTATTTGATAATTCTTGTTGTTTTTACAAAGAAAAACTGGCTGAATTAATGTAAAAAAATCTTAATTTATTTCCGAAAATAAACAATTATATCATAACAACAAAATATTTTTAACTTGATTCTGTTAATGTAGGATATCGAACAAAAATAAATTTATTTTCATATTCGTAATAACATACTTTTTCAATAACATTATCTGCATCAATATGAATGTATCGATAAAAATCAATGTTGCCATATTCAACGTGATCACATGATATTTTTTCTGTATTTAAGTTTAATAAAACTTGATCTTTTTCATTGTGCAATAAAGGATGGATTTGAAGTAATAATTTGTTCGTTGTTGTTATCAGTATAACTTTATTAATAATTCCAAAACGACATCCATCACTATACTGATATAGAACACCGCAGTCCTGAAACTGCTTTGATTTCGAATAGTGGCGCGTTGTGAATGAAGTACCTTTAATTACACATTTATTATATAAAAGAAATTGATCGCCGAATTTTAACCACAATTCATGTTTTTCATTCTGATTGATTGCTGATATTGGCTTCTGTGTTTGATGGATGCCTGATACATTCATCGAAGTCTTTCTGTAACCTTGAATTTCTGATATAAATGAGTATAATGAAGATGTTGTACAATACGAATGTGCCAAAAACGAGGAATTTTTTATTAATTCCAGAGTGTTTTCAATTTCACGAGGTAAATTTTTCGTGCCGTTGGTTGCTGCTGCTAATTGGCCTAGTAAAAGAAAAAAAAATTATTATGACTAAGAAAAAAAAATATTATGACTAAGAAAAAAAAATACCAATCACAGATTCGTAGTTGAAGGTACTATAATTGGTAAGAGGACCATAATCTTTGACAGTTTGGTGGAAGTGGAAAACAGAATGAACAGTATTAACACAATGACGTTTACCATATAACAAATGAAATGTAAACACGAATTTCTCTAACAAATACTTCATTTCTTTTAATTTTGACGAATCAATAATTCTTGATTCACCTATATGCATAGCGAATGATAATAATTGAAAATGTTTATAGTAAATAGGCTTTAGGTATTTCTTAAATATGGGATATGTAATTAATAAAATTACCCGGGATTCATTTGCTTTTAAACGATAATATTTCATAATTGTTCTAGGCACTCTCGTCGTTGTTGAAGGAAAGCGAAATTTTCGTAAATCAGTTTCAAGATCAGTCATATGTTGTCGTATAGACCATTGCTGTGTTCGATACTTTGAATCAAACCACAATGTCATCAGTCTTTTCTAAATAAAAAAAACTTAAATCAAACATAAAGAATTTCATTTTCAATTGAATTTCTACAACTGAGATAAAAATAGTTTCACTACCAGGTTCTATGTTAAGAAAAAGCTGGATGCTAGGTTTCGTACTCACAAAAACACCGTGGTAAATAGTGTGTAGACTGTCTGTAAGAAAAGAATAACCATGATCAAAATACGACAATTGCGTCAATAAACATTGGCCTAAATATCCGAAACGCAAGTTTATTTCCTCTTCTTCACTCATACGATGACCATGAAGTTTTAATGTTGATATTTGATTATATATTTGATGATATCGTGCAGTTGAACGCATTTGAATATTGTCGTCTTCATTTATAGGAAAAACACGAATTTTATGTGTTTCTTTTCTTGTTTTTTTTTCTGTGGACGATGTTGGTTTTTCTTGAAGTGATGTTTCATATGAATTTGAGTGTATTGTCTCACCAAAAAATATTAAAAAACATAGATATATGCTTTTGAATATATAACAAAATTCTACATACCAGGCAATTCACAACGACTACAGCCATATTTACCTATTGGTTCTGCTATGTTTTGCACTAAACTATTTGCAGGCTTATCATTACACGCGCCGATTAAATACATTTGGATTAATTTAAATTCATTATTACAAGCTTTCACTTGAAATAAATGACGTTCTTGTAGTTGCTTTAATTGTTCAACAATTGGCTTCAATAAAAATTGCATCAATTTACGATTTGGCTTTTTATAGCATGAACAAACACCACCTATAATAACATTGTGAGTTCTAAATCTTTCACTTCTTTTGATTTCGTTGAGTGTGAAGGTGATTATCCATAATGATTCTTCCGTATTATTTCCAATAGCAACACCATCTACATTCATCATTAGTGTTAATAAAAGATTAGTTTTATTTAATTGAAGTTTTGTTAACATTGAACGATACACATCGCCATCGTAAATATCAGACAAAGAATTGTTGGCAGCTGTGTAATTATCTGTGGAAAAAAAACGAATATTTTCTTCACGACATAAAATTTGTTTCAATTGATGATATATATCAAAATAAACATAGCTGTACGGATTAATGTCATATTTCTGATGATTTTGGCAATCACTATATGTGCAAAAATCTTTCGAAGTTGAAACTCGTTCACATTTCTGACATACTATAAGAGGTGGTACAATATCTTTTGTAGATGGTGTGGATGCCGATTTGCTATTCGTATTAACCAATTCACGAACATGATAAATCGACGATGGTACGTTTTTCACTTTTAGTGCAATTAACAATTTTCTAACATCATTCACACATTCAAATGTTAAATGATATCTTGTTTTTATTGTTATTAAACAAACAGCAATGTCAACTTCATCATATTCTCGTTCATTACTATCATCGAATGTTTTGTCTCTAAAATATAAAAGAATCGTATAATAGAAAGATGTACTCTTTTTTATTGTCAACTATAATCTGTCTCTTACTGTTGTTCATTCAAATCTAAATTGCATTGTAGTATATCGTCAATTTCACATTCATCTGAAATTTCATCTTCGTGCTTCATCAATAGAATTCCATCTTTTTGTTCATTATCATTTTCGATATATAAATGAGACTGTTTTTCTTCTAAATATTGGTCTGCTTCATTCACCATCGTATCATATGCAATCTTATCATTATTGAATAATATAAAATTTCGATCTTCTTCGACAGCGGTGTTACAATTTTCGATTTCCATTGCATTAAATTCATGACAATTAGGATCGTACGATTCATCAATATAATTTTTTATACCAAGTTGACTTCTGAATAGAACAAAAATGAAAAAAGGCTTACGCATAAAATAATATAATAAATAATAAAAAATTACTGTTGATTTTTTGACTCTTGATATTGTTCTCTTCTTTTTTGATTAATATTTTTCCTATTTTTATGATACCAACTCAATTTCGGTGACTTTGGTGAGGACATCTGAAAAAGAAACATAAGAATGATTTTATTTTTGAAACCAAACTACGAACGTGGTATTTGTAGACCGTTTGATCCTTAGATCAAACACAATATATTTAAATAAATTCATTGTTCAGATGCTTTTTAAGGCTATATGTATAGCTTATTTCTATTTCCCAAATATACTAGGTTATGCACGGGAAAAATAAACCATAATGTTCTTGTTTGAAATATGAAAGAAGTAATTTGTTTTTCGTAAGTTAGGTGTATTGAAAAGAATGTGAAAAACCTGGCCATTCACTATGTATCAACTGATTCCATTTATTTTCGTAATAAATCAGCATAAAAAGATAATTTTATTAAATATGTACAGGAGTTACTAGAAAAATGTTTTCACATATGAAATATGAATAATAAACAACGTAAAAACAACACATTATTATTTTCATACGAATTATAACTTTAGTTAAATGTAAAACTAGTTAGAATATTGATGATAGTGCGGCTTATTACTATCTTGAATTACTGTGCTATTTTCCAATATCCTATTCTTAACACTTTGCTCATCTTAAAAATCATTTCGCTGACTTCGTTTGATTATTGCACGCTCTGTACGTATCCAATTTTGTAAACTCGTTTTTATGGTTTTCCTATCCCATCTAATATGGCCAAATAGTCGTTCACCCAATGCTAAAGACAAGAAAACATTTCAGTTTGATTCTGAACAATAATGTGTCTATAACTTACAATGGATAGCATCCATTTTAATGGATGGAATATCAGACCATGATTTATATGCGGCAAGCTCTTGGTGGCATACTTGTTGGAATAATTTACGAGCCGTTGTTGTTGGTGGCTTGGAAAGATGAACACACATTTTTAATACAACTGATGGTATACCAAGCGCCAATGCCTCTTGATCGAAATCAACTTCTAAATTTGTCTGTCGGTGGATGGTATCATAGAGTGTACATATCCATTCGCACACGTTATCATCTGTCGGAATTACTAAATAATAAGAGAGAAAAACAAATTAAGAAAAATTTAGTGAAATAGATTAGCATTGTTTCTTACAAATCGATACACTTTCAAGCTCATCATATCGTTTCTGCAATATAGTAAATTTTGATTTCCATTTGTCACGATCTTTAACCATATCTGTCAATTTATCAGCCAAATCTGTTAATGGATCTGTATGAAAATTTTGCAGATTAGATGCTGCTTTGGCTTTAGGTGCTGCTGCTGATGATGGAGTTAATATACGAGGATCAACACTGGGTTGTGCCAAAGATTCAACTGAAATCGTATTTAACGAATGATTTGATATTTGTAGACCAGATGAGGACATTTGTTTTGTTCGTGATGATATAGTAGATGACGAATTCAGAAGATCGGATTGAATAGGAATAACATCCGCATCACTATCAGAAACTGTTGTTTCTAAAATAATTCTATCTGGATTTGCAATAGTAATATTTCCTTGAGTTGAGACTGTTGATGAAGCTGTAGTGATACTTGCACCTATATTACCATTGGAATTTAAATTTTCTTTGTTATCACGTAGTCGTCGAACCAAATCTAATTCGTTCTGACATTGCTGTTTTGAACCTAAACAAATAGCAAAAGTGACACTAATTATTATCTAAATCAAATCGGTCACATACCTATACAAAATACAATACCCTCCACTAATGGTTCTTCCTTCTGTTTCACTAAAATTTGTGTGCCAATTTTTATTTTTTCTCGTTCGTCCGACTTAATTAAATCTTCATAACCAACGATGAACAACTTTCTATTCAACGTTAGTTCAATCAATGCAAAATTTCGATCATCTTCATCACTTCCATAGCCAACACTCAATGCTGCACTCAGTTTTCTAGTAACAGGTCTACTTACTACAATACTTCGACCTCGTCCGTGATTAGAAATAGCACCATTTGTTGATTTTTTTCCTCGATACATTATTCGATCTAAAACGTAAAAGATATAAAATATTTACTTTGATTAGAAAGAACTTCACAAAAGAAGAATGAAGGGTTCAAGATAGAATAATCTGCCATCAATTGAGAGCAGGACGTCGTTGAAAAAGATAGTTGTAAAATATTTGTAGAGGAAAATTAACATAAATTCGGGTATTAATGCTTCCCAATTTTTCAGTCGCTAAAACCAACTTTTACTTATTTATCATATTCACTGTTGTAAGCAAATGCAATTTATAAAAGAATGACGACGAAGTATTCCTCCATTTATTTCTTTGTCTATCCATTGTTTACATAATAGTCTATAGTCTGTTTCGTCTTCTCCCTGATAGCTTCTTGTGTGTTGATACATGTTTGTCGTCGAAAATTCTCTGTCGATATTTAACTCCAATCAAAATTTCAATAAAACGGTCGCTAGTAAACATATTTATATTTTATGTTAAATGCTATGATAGTTGAGAAACCAGATACCTAAAAATTTATGATTGACTATAAGAAAATACTGAAATTAGGTATTCGGAAAAAATGATATCGATTTTTCATAGCCAACGAAGAAAAAAACAAAATTATTGAAAAAAAACTATTTAGAATTATGAAAAAATAAAATTTAAAGATTCAAAATTAAAATAAATATTAAATAAATAATTAACCATCTATAAAATTTTAAAATTTAAAATTTCCGTTTTTTATTCGAAATCATAGTCCTTTAATAATTATATATAAGCACTTTAACTCTACACTGTAGAAGTGTAAGTATGATCCAGTGGTCTTAGGTAAGTCTTCATTAAATATGTCCTTGGTTCGAATCTAACTCATTGCTCCTACGAAAAAAACAAAATTACATCGTTTAAACGGTTCAAAGCAAAAAAGGACCGAGTTTATCTAAAAAAACGCATCACTCAGAACGCGTTGTGAATTTGATTTTTGCTTTTTCAAAAAAAAAGAACGCGTTAAAACCCGTCTAATTAAACGCGCTTAGACTCATCAAAGTAAATTCGTGCGAACGTGTCTAAGAAAACGCGTTTGAACCGTTCTCCATAAATGCGTTTCGCTAGAACATTAGCCGTTTAGTTTCATGAAAAACGCGTTTAAGCGTATTTGAAAAAATACGTAAATGTTCTAGCGAAAATGTGCGGACTAATAAAAAAACGCGTGTAAACAATTTTTTTTTTCGATTTTTTTTTCATGGGTATATCATGTGCATTACGGCATTAGCGTTTTTGGCTCAGATATTCTACATTTATATTCGGCGAAAATTATCGACTACCTTTTCTTCGAATGAAATTTCAAGCAAGCGAGCATGACTTAACACAGTCAAAAAGATAAGACTTCGTTCAACGATCGCAATTAAGATTGGAGTAGAATTTTCTATTCTTAGTGGCACATGCAAAGAATGCGGGTGTGAATGTAGATTGTTTGTTCGCATCCACTGTCACACATCCACATCTACACTCTTCTGAACATTATTTCTGCGGTTTCGAGTATTTCCAAAATCATATCATCACTCGAAAAATGCGTCTTTTGTTTCCATACTTTATCTCTATGCCTTAAAAATAAATACTCCACTTATCTCAATCCTTTATTGTAAAGAATACTGAATATTAAATTTTCACTAATCTTGTTTACACGCTGTTTCCAATTTTTTACAACTATATCGTAATATGCAACAATAAATGTACGTTTTTTTCATGTATTGCTTTGAAATCAGTAGAGATTATTGAATCCTTTAATAAAAAAACATTAGACTCTATGTTTTAGTACGTGAATGAGTAACTAAAAAAAAACGAGAATAATTTTTGTAGATCGATTTTATATCACATTGAAAATTTTGCCGATGAATGTGTGAAATATATGTACTGTGTCAAACTTTTCAATATCACTTGATTGTTTGAGAAAACACCAGATTTGTTTCCCTATTCTATGCTTTATTGCTGGCACGCTAATAAATCGTTTTCTAGGTCATATGAATGTGAATGCTAGTATGATTGTCAATGCTTATGCAAAATCTATTGTTAATGATAGTTACATGCACGCCTTCTTCAATCATTAAAATGAGAATCTCCCCATGTCAAAATAAACATATTGAGAGAGGCTAGATCCATCATAGATGATGAACAATCAATTATATTGCATATTTTATATGCATCACTAAGTGCTACTTTCGTCTCGTATATCTCTTTCGTTAATTCTTTCTTTGCTGATTTATTTTAGATATTTCAAGAAAATGTCTTCACTCTCTTTTATCAATAGTGTTGATCAAAATTAATTACTAACAAACGTCGGAAGTACATAACTCAATGTCAGTCATGAAATATTATCTCAAAGTATTCCTATCCCTTCTCAGCATACTTCCTTTAACTGTTCATGCGCATTCTGATGGAAGCTTTTGGAAGAATCCCACAGTTGCGCATCTTGAAGCAGGTCTATTCTTTGATTATGTGGGACTGTATAAACCGTCCCACACAATCATTCATAACTCGGCTATTTTTCCGATGACGACAGAGGCATGCCATCTGTTACCTCTATCAGATGCTGCAGATATTCCTTTATGTAACGTTACGACACACAGGCACAAACGTTCGCGTTCTCGTCTCATCAGTGTAGGTGTTGGAATCATAAGTATGGGTCTATCTATGGCAAATAGCATACAACTGCTAAATCTTCAAGAACAGGTTGAAATGATTGAAAACACTCTATCAGAATTCTCGCAAACGATTCAAATACATGAAGCAAAACTAGCAAAAATTCAACCAAACCAGATCAAAATTGCAGAGCAACTTCAAGTAACACAACATGCCATTAACGATATCATAGCTGTTCTAGATTCGCATTCACAGGCTCTGAATACGCTTAAAACTGGCATTGAACGATTACACATCAATTTCCAACGCTCCTTCATCTACTTAGCAATAACCCAGACCTTTCGTAATCAACTCACTTTGAATTTTTTATCACCAGATGATCTGCAGAAAGTAGTATACCACATTATTGATCAATGAAATCTAACTTTTAATGCTCACCATGGATCGATTTCCATTGTCGAAATCATTACTAAACTTCTCGTTCGTCAACAGATAGACTTCATTCCCAGTTCATAATATAAAAATCAGAATCCACAGGAAATAGGCCGTCTTGACATCACTAGTTTTTTTGCCATTCCACAACAGGAACAAACATCATTTCAGGTCTACAAATTATTGACGATGCCCTACCTGCATAAGAATCGAACTATTCAACTCTCTCGTATTCCTCGATAC